TTAGCCTTGTATACGCTGTTTCAATTAGATACGCTATGAAAATAGAAGTTGAGCTCAGTTGTGATCATTTATTACGTTATTTTATGCTGCTTTAATGGAATGTAAAATACTTCTTCCCTAGATTCCAAATCAAGAGGAGGAGACGAAAATTCTCCTGGGCCTGCCTCCTGACAGGATTGGGCATGGAACGTTTCTCAACTCTGCAACAACTGGCTCAGAAGAATTAGTGCCACTTGTTAGACAGAATCATATACCTATTGGTAAGGAAACAGGAAGTCACTTGGTAATCTCTGAACTTACGAATGTCGTGCATACTGCTGATTCAGTAACTCTGATTTGTCTTTGGTGGCTGCCACAAATATGTAAAAAATACAACAATTGATGTCCCTGATGAAAACAAAATTAAATCATAACCCTTGGTTACTGTGAAAGGCTGTGTGGTGTTTGTGTGTGCTTTGCAAGGTCCTGATGTTTTACACACAGCAAGTAGTTAAGAAAAAAATGGCTACTGTGGGCTCATCAGAAGATCTTATGAAATATTTGAAGCATTGAAAATTAAGAAAACAATTGATTTCAATTTTCGTTTAGAAGGAAGCGAGCCCATTAATGTGTGGAAAGCATTTTTTAGTATTATATATTTGATTATTCTGTTTTTTTTTCCTTAGAACTTTGCATGACATCAAACATCAAAACTCAGACAGTGCCCTCCTGTGATAAACACCATTTTGGATACTGGTACAACATTGGCCATCCTGCTGTGCTTTGTGTAAGTTTTTTAACCAGGTTCTTAGGGCAAAACTAGAGTCATATTGGAGTATGTCTCCTTTCATGAATTAGAGCTGAGGTGCTAACTCATTGTATGTCATTACAGCCTATCATCTGCTTACAGCAAATCATAATATTCCATCAGATAAATGTTTGTAGTAGAAATTGAAATACTTAACATTAATCTTTTTATTGAAAGCAGGACATTTCCCTATGTAGATTAAATATAATCAGCAAAGTATGTAATGACATTCTTAAATATTTTTATATGGACGGATTTCACTTAAGCAAGGGTGGAATCACTGTTTTTAAGCTTGTGCTTATATCCTAATTTATTGTGTTGAATAAGGCTTCTCAGATTCTCTTGAATTCTCTCTCCACCTTATGACGGTGCCAAGTACATGGCAGGATTTTACACTCTATCATCCTGCTGGTTTACCCCTTAGACTTTGTAGCTTTGTGCAAGCATGTGTGTATTTCTAAGCATTATGCTTACCATTCAAACAAGCATCAGTCCATTGTTTTATTATATATCACTGAGTTTCAAAAATAGATCACAATCAGATTATTTCTGGGATTTTGAATTGTGATAAGTCTAGATAACCAGTGGTGTCATGTCAGATAGCAGTTTGCTCATGCGTGCCAATAAAAAAAGCAGCAGAAAAAGAGGTACTATGGTGTCTTAAATTTAACGAGATAGAGTTAGCAGTCTTCTTTGAGGGGGCACAAGGGCTCTAAGTTAGAAATAGGAAATCTCATTAACACTTCAATAATCCTAACTTGTTTCTTTTAGATAGACGATCTTTAGACTGCTTTCAATCTTGTTTTTAAGATGCTGCCTTCAGTACCTCAGTCTGTAGAAATTATTTGAGCTGACTCTGTCAAAATGCAGAGGATGAAACAGTTTCTTCCCTGAAAATTTAGGAATACAGAATTTAATGTAGTTCACAAATCTGAGAAAGAGAGGAGTGTGGAGATGATGCGTGCAAACTATGTAAATACATGTATATTTGATGTGCTTAACAGGCCATCTTTCCAGCTATGTTTATAGGAAATAGTATTTTCTAGGTAATTGATGTTATTTGTTATGATTTATGTTTGAGAAGTTTTCTTGTGTGTTTGAGTAATTTATTAACTGTAAGTGAAAATAGGGCAAAGTAAGGATGAAATGATACTTAATAGATGGAAGAACTGGAGTAATATGTGAAACACATCGAAGTAAAACTGTTTTGTAATGTGTAGTCAAAACCCTTCAATTAATTTAACTAATTTAAACTTTATTTTTCTTTTGATTTAACTCTAGACTGATGATAAAGGCGTATTTGCAACAGATCTGTCTCAAGAATATGAACTGGTTGCAAAAACATTTAATCTGACTCGATCGCAGATGTGGGATCTTTCCTATGAATCAATCAACTATATCTTTGCTTCAAATGTAGTAAAATCAAAGCTAAGGGAACAGTGGTGTAAACTGAAGCCGACTCTGTTTAATCAAACGACTGCTCTAAACAGCTTAGGTACATTAGCTTAATTAGTTGTGTTTTTTTATCGTTCTTTTTTTTAAGACAAAATCCCTGGCTTTAGCCTTTTCCAGATATTAGGCTTATAAATCTGGTCCACAAACCAAGCCATTGTAAAAAGAAGACAGACGTGCATCCTTTGGTAGCAAGGACAAAAGTGAATGTGCTTTCATGGTTGGGAAGGGCCTTAAATCAGTGATTAAAGTTTCAAATATATCATCATGCAGTGTCTCTACTTGATAGGACATTAAAAATAGGACATTAAAAACTTGAATGGAATACATTGTCTTATTAGAAACCCTGGAGACTGAGAATAAAGGTACAATTGTTAGGGTTCAAAGGCTGCCTGTTGGCAGCATTATGCCAAGCCGTGTGGATATGGGTTGTGGATTTTTGTTTCTTTGTATTGTTTTCAAACAGAAGTTTTAAGCAATTGATCGAATGTGAAAACAACCTCAGGGAGAAGGAGATATTTGTCTCAAGGGACTTGAATGCTGCATCTGCTTTTGTTGGCGTACCTGTATGACTGAATCCTGCTGTGGGTTCTCCAGTGTACTGGCAGTGCCTATAGGTACACTCAGTACTGATAGTATTTAGACAAAGGTTGGAATCTTGAAAGCCTTAGCAAATGGTGGAATACTTGGAGGAAATGGTCTAATTCTTGAAATGCTCTTTCTAATTTCTATCTGTATATTGTACAAAGCAATAAAAATGCTTTGAGTGTTAATGTTTTAAAGCAATTCCATTCTATGTGTGTGTGTGTGTGCATTTGAGATTTGTAGGACAGGAATGTGTTGCAGTGCAGCCTGTCTTCCCAGCAGCACTGTGTCTGTTGTGACAGCAGAGGGTGCTGGTTCATTCAGGCTGTGAACGAACATCTGCATACGTATTGGGATACTGAGACATCAAAATATGTGTGAGGAACTATGTGCAGCTATGTTATATTCTATACTGCACATCCCTGGGGAGCGTTGGAAGTATCCCAAGGGAAGGTATTTTCTACCCAAAGGATTTTTGTATTGATTAATTACATGAGGAAACACTCTGGGCTCTGCAAGAAATCCTGAGTACAGATACAACACAAGCTATACATGACTTCTGTTTTGGTCTTGTTTTGTACAAATTTGGTGTAAATGATAAAATGTTCACCAGGTACAACACTGACAGGAGATACAGGAGTATCTTACTGCGAAGTTGCAATTAGAAATGCTGCACACACACACAAACACAAAAACATGAAAAGGAATCCCACCAAGAGAGAGTTGGGTAAGGGGAGGACATCGGAGTTGTTCAACAGTCTGTGGTTGCGTGAGGTTTCCACACATTGTTTTCCAAGCGCAAAAATATTCCTTTTAGATATGGGAAAAATTAAGTGACGTAGAACGGTGGCTTTGTATTTTGTTATCTGGACTCAGTAAGATCTCACCAGAATTCTCAAAACCGCGTGCTTGTTTATTCAGAGGCAGTATCTTAAGTTACTGAAGTTACTGTTCAAATAGATTTGCTGGTTACGTTATCTTGTGGTGCCTGCTGTTTGTCTGACTTGGTTCTTTCTAAGGAAATAGCTCCTTGGGTACAAGTGTTTGGGGGTTGCTTCCTTGTTTAAAAAGAGGAAATAAAAAGAAAGAAAACCTGTTCAAAGACAGGTTATCCAGCTCTGGCATGTTACAGTTAGCTATATCTTAATCCCGGGATAAATGGACCTATGCTTATGTGAGATAACACTATTGTAAGTTTTCTAATATTTTTGAGGTTACGTCCTCCTAACAACTCCTCCTAATGGTATTTGGTTTATTTGCAAAGGAGAGCTGCCAACTAGAAGTTCACTTTACAGCTGTCATCCTTGTTCATTGTATCTGTCGAGTGTAGAACTTCAAACACGAAATAGGATTTGTAATTAGTGTCTGGGATTCTAGTTTCAAACTGTTAAGTGTTACACAGAATTTCTGAGTTTTAATGTTCAGATGTTAAGTGTGCTCACTCAGAGAGACCTGTGAACATCACTGTGTCCAGCTTTTTTTTTCTCAAGCAAACACACGGTGCCCCTGAGAATTTTAACTTTATATTATGTACACTTCCCAGTATTTCCACTTAATTGATTTCTGAGTGTCTCCAAAACATTGCTTTGGATCAGTTGTAGTTCTGATAAAAACAGGGTGGCACGTGATGACACATGGGTGCTGCATAGGTTCGTAGTAAAAGGTTATCAATGAAGCAGGGCTGTTCTGGATACACAGTGAGATGATGCAGTTGTACTTAGTCTAGAATTAGAGAATCACTCATCTGAAGACTGTGTACTCACCTGTCTCTTAGATGCTTGCAGATATGCTGTTGATTTAATAAACAGAAGGAAAACAGAAACAACAACAAAACATTTAATTATATATATATATTATCTGTTTATAACAAATAATGTGTATTTTACAATGCTTCTGCCAGTAAGCAAAGTCAGGAGTCAACTTGGAGGATTCCATTTATGTGAAGTCAAAGGAAAATATTAGGGAAATACATTTGAGTGGCTGAACAGTGATACACAGAGCTAATGGATTTCTGTAAATCAGTCTCTGGCAGTGTGTTACTGCAATTATTTACAGTGTGAAGTGTTACCACTGAAATGATAGTAGGGGGAGAGGGCACTTTACTGAATGCACTGTAAATTCTGAGTAAATATTCCTAGAATTTCTTACTTTTGAAGTGAAAGAAATAGATTTAGACTGAGTTAATATTTAGTTTATTTCCATCTGATTACATGAGATAAAACTTATAAAACAGTCTTCAATGCTCAGTCTTCACATCACAAGAAAACAAGCACTTTGGTCCTATTAAACAAGTGACTTGGGAGACGTGCAGAGAGCAACTGCTGACTGTAGCACATTTCTCAGAGTTAGAGACAAACCCAGAAAGTCTTCAAAACTTATGTTTGCTAGGATTTAGGAGGAATTCATACCAAGCTTATTGTAATACAACTGCTAAACAGTAAACATTGACACTGCTTTTCAGGTTTGCAAATAACGTAGTTGTGTTAATGATCTTACTTGCCTGCTTCAGTATTCAGGCATTTCAAATGAACGCAGAACCAATGCAGAGAAGAGTACTGCAGAAGGCAAGTGCGTAAATGGTTAAAGTACTGGAGCATCTCTCACATGAGAGGATGAAAGAGATGAAGCTGTTTAGACTGGAAAAGGCTCAAGCAGATCTCATCAATGCATTTAAGCATCCAAGGGGAAGGAATGAAGATGTAGCCAGGCTCTCCCCAGTATTATCTAGTAAAAAGAAAAGGGGCACAAACTGAACGCAGGAAATTCTTTATGAACATAAGGAAACAATTTCTATTTCATTGTCTGGGTGTTTGAACACTGGAATGGGTTACCCAGAGAGCTTGCAGATGCTCAGAACCCAACCACGGTGCTCAGTGACCTGGTGCAGCTGACCCTGTTTGAACAGAAGAGGTGCGCTGGACCATCTCCAGCAGTGCCTTCCAATCTTAACTATTCTGTGATTCGACGAAGTGAAAATACAAACATACAAATGGTAAAGTCGCCATATGAATATAAAATGTTTAAAAATTAAATACTGACTCAACTCAGTCACTTAAGTGACAGTCTTTCACCAGGCTTGAACAAAAGAACTTGACTGACTTGTGAAGTTATTTTTTAAAGCTGGAGATATTCATTCTTCATAGCTTTCCTTCTTTCACAGCCGCTGTGGAATCCTTTAGTGCCATCAGGACCTCTAGGCAGCCGCAGCACCCCTACAGGTAGACCATCTGCATTTTGTATTTTCCGAACTAACATGGGGCTGCTGACCGGACTCTTCTCTTGTGTTATAGTTTGAGCTTTTCTTCTCTGTACCCAGGGACTACCAGAAGGTGTAATACTGCTATCTGAAGAATAATCTGTACATTTTCTTGGAATTTCAGGACTAGTACTTGGGTTAAGTTTGCCATCTTCAGCCAGTGGAGACTTTTTGGTCACTTTTCTTAGAGAGGACGGACTGTTCCAAGGACTTGACCTGGGTGATACGTTAGGGCTCAGATGGTTGTTTGGGTGAATGATGGGACTCAACTTATTTGTAGTACTTGTTGCAGTACTTCTGCGTCCTGACAGAGGTGATGTAGGATTACTCTCTGGCTCAGAAGAGCTATTTGCTGATGATTCATCACCAGTAAACTGAAGTTCCTCGACTCTCTTATTAAGGGATCTAACCTTTTTAAGACTCTTGCTATCTTCATCACGGTTCTTGTCTTTAGGAACCTTTTTCTTTGGAGGTTTCATGCCAATTAGGACAACTTTCATGCCCATCTCTTTCTTTTCAGCACACATGAATTCATGAGCCTGTACAGCAGCATCTACTTCTTCAAACTCTATAATTGCACATTCTTGTGTTCCCATTTGTGTATACCGACTGCTGAACCTCCTGATATCAGGTGGCAGATCCCTACCAGGCTTGAGAATACGAACTGATGAAATTACACCAAAAGTTACAAAAGCTTTGAGGAGATACTCCATTACTTTTTCTTGTATACATCCATTTTCTTGTTTATTAAGACCCTGCAGTTCAGAAATCATGTGGATATCATACACGAGTAACATCCTGGTAGGGAGGTTTTCACTTGGAAACACTGGAACTGGTGTATTTCTTCTAACCTTTCTGTTATCATCGTTGAGCTCAAGCATGTCTGAGTACTTCAGTGCATGGGCTGTGGTTCTCCAGTCACGGGTAAGGTGTTTCACCTTGAAGACAGACACAGTTTAGGCAGCACATCTGATCAAACCCACACAAACAACTCAGTGAATATCCAAGGCAGATTCAGGCTCTAGTCTACAGCCAAACCTAGATTTAAGTTACACACAGCAGACTTGAGCAAAAAAAAAAAAGTAGATTTCCCACTGCAATGGGCATGAGCAAGCTTCTAGAAAGCTTCCTATTAAAATAGGTTAAATAGGAACTGATACTAAACCTGATTGGAAAACATTACTTCATAATAATTTAAAGCCTGCTGAAGTGGTTCCACATCCAGGTCTAAACAGGGCCAAAATGCATGTTGTTTGGTGGCTTGATCTGCATACTACTTTCACGGAACTCACTTTTCATCCCTCAAAAATCTTTGTTAAAAAGGGGGGGGAAATTCTCACAGAAGTTCTGCCTTTCCAAAGAGAAGTTTTTGAGAGTTTAACTGTTACCACTGAAATCTGCTTGAAGTGGTCTGAGGAAGCTCAGATTGCCTTAACTTCTGTAAGGAATAGCTTTGCAAAGATTTACAATCCTGACAAAGTATTTAAAATGTAATTTAAAAACTGTTACATGGGCATACAAGGGAGTTGCTTATGTGAAACAAAAACAACAAAACAACCAAAGAATTATGAATAAAAACCACCTCAACTTAAGGTTACTTTAATTGCTTAATAACCTCTAATACTTCTGTTTGTTTTGGGGATCTCCATGCTTTTGCCGAGGCCTTTCTCAGAGACGACAAAGTAACTTTACCAGGATAACTGAGTTACTCGTGTGTAGCTGATCTGGAAATGAATCTTATCCATTGTTCCACTCACGATGCCCTACTCCCCCCAGAAAGAGAATTCAACAGTGTAGTCCTGTAAATGCCTTTGATTTCCCAGGCAACCATGAAAGAGTTATAAGTTGATGTCATAGATGAGAACAAACCTCGCCATCGCATCAAAACTGAGTCAAGGCCTCAGAGAGGCAGGTAAAGAGGGAGACTGTAGAACTGCCTATAGAAGTTCTTTTCATCCCTGCTATATATTTTTTTAAAGCAAATTACTTTTAACTTTTAAAAAGTTAACTTACTTTCTTAAAAGAAGTGAGGAGTTTAACACTGACGTAGCCCATCTTATTTCTTCTCACATGCTTCAGAAGGAAGGCATCTTTCTCAAGGTTCTCATCTGAGAAATAATATTCAATTTGTGCTATCAACTTCTGGATCAGGTCATTTTCTGGTGGTTTCCAGTTCTGGTCTGAGTCATCATCATTTTCCCCACCACTGCAAAACAGTCAGATAATTTGATTAACAGGATTCCATCTCCTATTAATAGAGTAAAAGAATGAAACAAAAAACAAAACAAAACAAAACAACAACAACAACAAAAATAAAATAAAATTAAAAAAAAAATAAACAACGAAGTGAAAATGAATACCCATAGTGTCTATTCCAGCTTCTTTTATACGTAGGAACTAAATAGGTAGAGCCCTGTCCATCTGAGGCTGGCTCAGATGATGCTTTCCAGTTAGCGTAACGAATCAAATTCCTGAGCTCATGCCAAAAGCTGATCTCAGTGTGGAACAATGACACATGTTTACTAGTGTCTTGAAAACACTGCCAGCTCAAATCTTACACCAAAACAAGAAATACAAGTGCACAGGAGTTTAGTCTTCATTGTGGCAGCACTTGGTTTTTCAGCATGAAGGTGTCAACATTTCTGTGCTTCGTGAGTATAACAGGGAATTCATATTCTAAACTGATGGAACCATATTTTTCTCAAGCATTTTCACTTTATGAATGCACTTCAGCAGCCAGTATCCAGAGAGAAATGCAGACTGCCAGGACTGCTGAACTTTTTACAGGTCAGCTGTACAGTGACGGCTAACTTCACTGGCAGTTTACTGAGGGATTGGAGCTCTCTGTAGGTGTCAGATTAAGGACTGTGCTGTGGTAGCAGCTCACGTGGTATCCCTCAGGAACAGCTGTATGCTGTAGACATACAGGCAGGCTGCTTAAGAGATCACACAAATTTCCTGTCTCCCCCTTCCATGCTGCTATCTACATATCTGCAAAGTAGAGCACTGCCGAGGATTTTGTCCTGAAAAAAGATGTTGGAGCCATGGAACTGAGACCAGCTTGTTGCCACATCCCATTACAGCCACGTGTTTGTTGCTGGAATACAAACAACCTTTTAAGCTGTTGTCCAGCACTGATGCAAGCAGCTCACCCACATGCTGCAGCCACAGATGTTGTTATAAGAATTATAGTGGCGGTCTTAGAGCTATTTGTTTTTTTTTCCAAAGCTATTAGCTGTCTAGTTTTGCTGCGGGGCTGTTACAAAAGTTCCTACCAAAAAAATAAAAATAAAATAAAATAAAATAAAATAAAATAAAATAATCCACTACGTTCTCCAGTCCTTAAAAATCACATAATTGCTATTGTTCATACTGTCTCCCATATACCTCAGTGATAAAAAAGAGGAGCCATTTTCTCAAAATTTTCTTAAAGTGATTTTTGCAGAGCTTGTGAGATCACTGAACAAGAGGGAGCAGGCTTCACACGAGGGTGCCCCAGAGGGCAACTCTGTAGGCAGGCGGAGGCTACTGACTCACCTCACCGTGCAGCCTTTACTTGTGGGCACAAACTGGAGAGCTTGGTCCTACTGCAGGCTGATGTGCTGTGTGCTGCTGGGCTGCCCACGCCTTTGGGTTGGCAGCAGAGCCCACACTGCTCTGGTCAGCGGGTTCTGCACAGGGAACACACTGCGCTCCCAGATGTGACCGGTTACTGCAGGCTTTTGGAAGCTAGCTATTTATTTATGGCTCTTCCCCTGCGCAACAGCTACGCACAGGCAGTCTGTCACACAATCCTAGAAATCTCCGTGAGAAGAGTGAGAGCAAAAGAACCCGAATTTCAGTCATCAGAAGGTGTTGGAAGTGGAGGATTGCAGATGAAGCTGTTATTAAGAAAGTAAAAAAACTTCGGTGGCCTACAGTTGTTGCTGATTTGAGAAGGAAGGAAAACAAGATAAAGTGATTGTTTTTCATTCTCTCAGCCCACAACCTCTCGTTTTCCATTCACTACCTGTTGTGAGTAGTATGTGCAGAAGAAATCGTGTATGTCAGCACTTTAACATATCCACACTTTGCTAAGTAGAGCTTACCTTGAATTCAGGATGGAGCTTACAACTTTTACAGATTTTACTAGTACAGAAATTTGCAGGTATTTTGAAGCTTCAGATGGAAAGAAAATGCAGCATCATGCTTGGAAAAAAAAAAATGGACTGCATCAGTTCTGTTCTTACTGAAGTGTTAACACATGGAGTCAGGGTGATACATCTCATTTCACCTATGTAAAACATGAAATATCGCTCACACTTTGAGCTGCAAGCCATTTCTGTATCTGGCAGACAGCTCAGCTTTCACAAAATCTTTAGAGCTCTTACAGTAGCTGTCACTAAGTATTGTATTGGGAGTTCCCCTTCCTGCAAATGCAGAAATTTGTAATTAGCTGCACGTTAACTCCTAGTAATGACCAAGTGGTACCACCTCTCGAGGGTATGACTCTGAAGGTTAATTAGGTTATGAATCAATGTCAGTCAACACTGTGAAAAAAAAGTAGATACATATCTGCGTAAATTTGGGATCTAAAATATCAAAACTCACAAACAATATATTAATGTAAATGGAATCATTTTGACATGCTTTTCCTGAATCTATGGAAGAAAGATGATATTGCACTATGTGGCAACATAATAAACACCATGAAACCGAAGTTCCAACAGCATGCTCGCTCAAGGCAGTGGAAACGTGTTAACAACCAACTGGTAACAGTAGGTATGATGTAAGCTAGCAGGACCGATAGCTGCAGCAATCATTAAATCTCAATTTCGATTGCAGAACTGATGTCATCATAAAAATCTTTCACCTTTGAAGGTCAGATTCCTGTGTCTGGCTGTATTCAAAAGACATTTAATTTGGGCAAGAATTATATTTGGTTATGCATGTGTTTTGTACATTACAGAGGAGCAACTTCTATTTATAAAGTCTGTATATTTTTCTGAAGTACCTGGCAGCTAAGAGACCAGGGAACAAACACCAGATGATTCATGGGGCTCCCCTAGAACTGTGGTGTCTTGACCATGAAGAGCAGTTTTCATTTGCTACATGCTCTATACGCCAGCTCAGCTCACAGTGCTCTGCGCCACTTCCAGCAGGACTCACACCACCTAGTAAGTGCAGAGCAGAGTGTGCATTCCAAAACCAGTAACTGAGAAAGCTTTGAAAAGTGGAACCAGTCCTCCTTCAGGAGCAGCCTTACTTCTCCTCATTTTGTCAACTTATGCATCATTAAAAATAACAAAAATCCTTCTATTAATGAGTTTGCACAAATTGGCCTCAGTGTTGTACCCAAGAGCATCTATACACGCACTGCTTTTCTGAGGGCAAGCTCTGAATTTCCTACCGTTCAAACTCAAGGCGTGTGTTCTGAAGCCCTTGCTAAGGAAGGATGCTCACACGGTGCGCTGCCACAGGTCGTGCTGTGCTGATTTTCGCACTTCAGCACAGAGAGCACTATTGGCGTTATCAAACAGTAAGACATAGAGTAGGTTATAAGGCGGTCGTTATTTCACCTCTGTGCAACTCGGGTCCAAAGCCCCAGAAATATCTGCTGGGGCATATCATATCTACTCTACTGCAGAACATCCGTACGATGCTCTGCCAAGCACAGTGAGAACAACAACCATCACAACCCCCAAACCGAGCCACTCTGGCCCTTTCGGTTCGGGGCAGCGAAACGACCGACCGCTGCGAAGCGTCACATCCAGTCCCGCTCCGCTCCGGGCCGCGCCCCGCACCGCCGCCGTTGCGTCAGCCGCGGCCCCGCAGGGACAGGCGGCCCGGCTCGGCTCACCTGGAGCGCCCGCACCGCCCCGAGTCCTCCTCGCTGCAGCTGCCGCCTCCCCGCGCCGCCGGGCACTGCGCGCCTTCCTCCTCCTCGTCCTCCTCCTCCGCGGCCACGCAGATCTGCACCGGGCCGCCGCTCGCCGCGAGCTCCGTGCCGGCGGCCCCGTGCTCCTCCTCCCCGGGCTGCCGCTGCGCCATGGCGCTCCGCCCGTCCCGCGTTGGCGCTCCCCTCGGGCACGGTCCGGCCCGCGACGCTCCCTCCCCGCCGCGCTGCCCCCGGCTCCGGGTACAGCCGCCGCCCGTCCGCCGCTCCTCCTTCTGCTGGCGGCGGGCGGATCGGCGCCGCCCGGCGGGGCGCGACCCGGGACGTGCGGCCCGGCGCTGAGCCGCGGCGGGGCTTCGGCGGGGTGAGCGCGGCCGCAGGGATCGAAGCGGGCAGTGACGAGGCTAAGGCGCGTGTGGCCGAGCGGCGTTAGGTTTTGCAAAGCGGTTCCGCGTGGAATTCAAATGGAGTAAAGGCATCCCCGACAAGACGCGATGGAGATATCGAGCCGCCTTAACTCCGTTAGCTCGGTGCGCAACGCTGCATTTCGGAGGGCTGGTTCTGCTATTAAAGTGACAGCTGCGTTTTCACGGTCGGACTCAAACCGCAAATCTCCCTGTCAGCATTTGGCTTTCACTGCCGTCACGGCGCCCAGCCCCTCCGTGAGGCATCACCGCCATGTCTGCGGCGCTCAGCTCCGCTCTGCGCTCCGCTGGGCTGCGGACCGGCTCCGCGTGCCGCCACGTCTGGGCAAAGATCGGCGCTATGGCTGCGCAGCCCCGCCGCCATCGTCCTGGCGTGCTGATGCTGGGGTAACGACGGACGGGTGGAGCGGCCTCCTCGCACCGAGCAGGCTGCGCACGGACGGGCTGGCTCTCCTCTGGAGATGCTCCAAGCAGCCCGCGCGCTGTGCGGCGGTTCCCCGGTGATCCCTGCCTGCTCCTGCGGTTCTGCCATTAGCGCAGATGAAAGGTGACAGCACTGCACACACAGAGCTGATCTGACCGCCGCTGGACTACCGTGTTTTAAGAGAACAACACCGCGAAGACCCTTAAGGCTCGACGGCCGGCAGTGGTTAAGTGACGCTCCGAGGGCGCTGCGGGACAGCCGGCAACGCCCCGAGAGCGCGGCGCTGCGCGGGAGCGCTGAGGGCGGGCGGGGCGGAGAGCCCGGCGGTGCCTCCCTCAGCCCGCCTCCCCGGAAGCGGCCGTTGCCGCGGTGACGGCGGAGCGATTTCCGACAGGGGCGGCGGCCGACCCCAGGGAGGCGGGTGGCGATGGTGCCCAGCAAGTGCCGGCCCGGCAGGGGCTCGCGGGCCGCGCCCGGCCCGGTAGGTGCCACCGTGAGGGCGGCTGCAGCGCGGGGCGGGTGGCGCGCGGCGGCGGCGGTTTCTCCTCAGTGCGTGAGCGAAGAGCTCCGCCTGTCGCGGACCCGTGAGCGTGAGTCGCGTTTGTTTCCCGCTGTGGCACAAAGGCGTTCCTCAGCGCGGTGCCGGGTGGGGCTCCTGCTGCCGTGCTGGAGGTGCCGTCCTCGGAAGCTCAATGAGCCCGCTGTATCTATGCACGTTTTAGGAAAGCGTAATGCTGTCTTTTTTCTCTTCCCGTGCTCAGGCCGGTAGCTGCGGGCTCCAGCTGCTGATCCAGACATCCGCGATACCCGCTAAAACCAAGCCAGTAATTGCTGTTTTCTTTCTTCAGTAGATAGGTGGATTCGTGCAGTTGTGTGTCACGTTTCTGTGCCACGTGTCTGTCATTTCGGATGGGGATCGCCTTTTCGGCAGCGGCGTGTTGGTTTTTGACTCGCTGCCTCGTGTAGCTGATAGCCTTCTCGTGGTGTATTTAGTGAGGATGTGTGGAGTGAAGCTGCTGGGCTATCCTGTACCTGCCGTAAATTCAGTGTGTGACCTGTTATGCTTCCTTCTGTACCCCTCCTCCTCCTTCCATGGTTGCAGTGGTCTTTTAGGGCAGTGTGTGTGTGGGTTTTTTTCCCCCTTTGTTTTGTGAGAACTGTATTTGTTTCTGAGGCTGTGTTTGTCTGTTTGAGGACACTGTTTGCCTTTGAAGACCTCAGTGTTTCTCTCATGCATTTTGTTGTAGTTTGACTTCAAGATAAGTAAAGAACCCTCGTCTCTCCACAGCAGACTTTTGCAGCACGACCTGGAAAAAAGCTATTCAGGAAGGCAAGGTGATGCTCAGGAGGCTTTTGGTTTGTTTTCTTCTTTTTTTTTTTTTTTTGGTGGGAGGGAGAGGCTTTTAAATTTCTTCTTATGAGCTAAACAGTAAAGAAAGGCTTTATTATGAGTAGAAAAATGTTACTGGCTTTTGTATATAACTGCTTTTCCTAACTGAGCGCATTATATCCTGGAACTCCTATCTCTTCTCCCTAGTGCAGGTGGCTTTGCTTGTTGTTTTTTGTTTTGCTCTTTCTGCCCATGGAGGAGCATTCCTTCTCTCACTTACAGAGCCACAATATTTGTGAGTGCCTTGCTCAACTCCTCTGCCCCCTGAAGCCATGCAGTTCTCAACCATCACCTCTTGTCGGATGTCTAGTGTATGTGTATAGACAAAATCTGATTCCAAGTTGTGAAGAGATGGTTTTCCTCTTGAGTGCTTCTGGCTTTGAAAAGTGAGGTATTTGGTGGCATCACTGTTAACTGTTAAAACCTGGAAAAGCTCTGACACATACCTGCACTGCTGCTGCTTGCCTGTCATAAAAACAGTGGTGGGCTGGGATTGGAGGTAGTTTGGCTCTGTTGGCAATGAAATATCTGTGTATGGGAGTTCTTTATTCATCCCAGTAGATAATAAAGACCAACAGCTGTTCAGAGTGGGTTGATTTTTAGGGCTGTTATGCAGTTTATTCTATTGTGAAGTTTTGTTTTGTTTGCCCCACAGGAGACCCAAGAGTGTTGAGCCCTTTGGTGCGCAGTAAGCAGCTGTATCTTCCAGTGCCATCCACCCTGACTGAGCTTTCTGGTTTGGAGTTCAAGCAAAGCACGGGTTCTTTATCTGGATTTGGAGAGTCTTCTATACATGCAAAACCCAGATCCCGACAAAGCAGTCACAGTATTAGTTCACATGCTTCAGGTAAGAGTGTAAAGTTCTCACCAGCCTTGTATTTATTTACTTATTATTTGTACGAGGCATTTAATTTGAACAGTCACAGCCTGTAAGATGACTCTACTGGCTGATGGACTGTATAATTGCATAGCATGTGTTGTCTCCTGTTCCCATGGTGTATTAAGAGATCGTTGTCAGGAAACTGCTAGTGCTATCTTCCAAGTTTTAATGAAGACATTTAAACATTTAGGCTTTTTATATACCTTTCTGTAACAAAAGGGCAATGTAGGGATCTGCTATGGCATACAAAGTAAAAAGTAATGTCATCTTTAATTCCTTGTGTTTATTGGCTTTAAAACCTGAGGCACGTCTTTAACTTTAGCAACAATGCTGATTGTTTTTAAGTTTCAATTTTTTTTTTTTTATTCTTCAGCAATTCATTTCACTTTGAAAGATATGTAGAGAATATTGGTTGTTATACAGTGGTTTATTAGAGCAGCCACTAAGGAAAATTGGAAGGTAGCACTGAAAAGCTTCTAAACCAAACTAAGCATGAACAAACCTTTGTACTTATTTAGCTATTTTTACTAATCATGTGTTCTACATAAGAAGGAAGTTGCTCTCTGTAGAAGTAAAGAAATTAATTCTTACTTAGTGAAGAATTTGTGTTTTTTTCCCATTAACGTCTTTAAAAAAAGTGCAAACATGGATGATTGTGTGTTCTTGTGATAGCATACATGCACAGTGATCTGTTTCTGACCAGTATCTTTCAGTGGATTGTACTCTAAATAAGCTAAAGCTTGCCATATAGGTTGCTTATTTGTTTTTTTGGGTATTTTGGTCATTTTCCCTCTTTCTCCTTGTATTAACAAAATGGAGTTGGTTATTTTGTAAGCATGTTTAAAAAGGTTCTCTGTTTTTTCCTTGGTAACGGTGTGAAGCATGAAGCAGTTACAGCTGGGTGACAGATGTACTCACGTGTGAAAGAATCCACGTTTGCTTCTGGCTCAGTGGGACTGCTCCTGTGTTTCAGTGCTTTAGATTTTAATTGGATCAACATATATTTGATCTGTGTCATTATGATTGTTCTTAATACAGATAGTATCCTTGTTAAGTTCAGATATTGGAGTTATGAAACCAGTATGCAGTCTTAGGACAGCTTTGGGTAATTCTGATCAAAACAAAAGCATCTACAAACTGTCTGCTTACCACAAATTATTTAAAAAAAAAAACAAAACCAAAACCCTGTCACATGTGAGCTCAGTGGATGTAGGTTTGCAAGAGGGGTGTATCTGTAAACTAAAAATGGCAGGAAACTGGTGGGCCAGAGTCCTGAGTGCAGGCAAAATGCATTTCATGTACCACGTAATTCTTTTAGTAAGAAGTAACTATTAGTGGTAGTTAATGAAATTAATTTGTGGTTGTTCATGCGTTCTTTTGATGATTTTCTGATAGATAGCGCAAATTTTGGGAGCAGTTCATCAATAACATTTCCTGTCTTGCAACGTACTGCTGAGGAAAAAATACTGAACTCGGATAGACTCACCCTGGAAAGGTGAGCAGGGAGTGGAGTCTGGGCTCAGCAGCTTGCTGCTCTTGTGTCTGCTGGTCTCAGGGGATGAGTGTTGAGCAGTGCTGCTAGGTGTGGGGGGGGGCGGGCTGCTTTTCTTGTTCTTTGTTTCTTCTTCTAGAGAGGACCTGTGTTCCACTGAGATGTTCTGTATGAGTTTCCTTGTGGTAAAAATTCAGTGATGGCACATATATCCATACAGCAGGTATGGATATATAGGCAGGTATAATAATCTAAGGCAGGTAGGGTTTTTTATTTTAAACTAAAAGCTGGATTCAAAGTCGTGCAAGAAATCAATAGAAAGTTGAGGCCTTTGTCTCCATTAGTTGTACTCTGATGCATTAACTGTAGGGTGTCTTTGTTTCCATAACCAGGACAACAAAAAAAAGCTAAATGTGAAAACCACATTCAATTGTAAATAATTGTGTGAATGCGTGTGCACATTTTTATTTAGTTAGTTTTGTTTATTGGTGATGCTTATGTAGTCAGAAAAAGTTCTGTGAGGTCAGTAGGATGTCTTTTGGAGATAATCCTGCTGTGAGAATGGCTGTTATCAGCATCATTTTTGGTATCTTTTAG